CTGTACTCCAGCCTGGGTGACGGAGTGAGACTCCAACTCAAAAAAAAAAAAAGAAAAAAATGTATATACAGTACTGAGGCAGATTTGGGATTGTCCTTATGACATTATTCTTTAATATGGTTTTTTTGTTTGTTTTTGAGTTGGAGTCTTACTCTGTTGCCCAGGCTAGAGTGCAGTGGCACGGTCACGGTCACCACAGCCTAGATGTGCTGGGCTCAGGCAATCCTTTCACCTTAGCCTTCCAAATAGAATCACAAGAATGCACTACCACGCCTGGCTAATTTTTTGATATACCGTTGAGACGAGATCTTGCCAAGTTGCCCAGGCTGGTCTCAAACCCCTGAGCTCTTGCTTCTGCTTCCCAAAGTGCTGGGATTACAGGCTTAAGCCACTGTGCCTGGCCCTTTGATGTGCTTTTAAAGGGGAGAATAGAAGGTGGCTTTATGTATGCATACTAGAATTGCAGAAGCTACAGCCTTATTTGGGTGCACCCGTGGAGTTGTTTGTACTTTGAAAGAAGCTGTTTTGGCACTTAGCGAGATGTGATATAGACCATGAGATCGTGCTTGCTGCATATCAGGATCTTCATTTGCCCTAATGTGTTAAAAAGAATGCTAACGTGCCTTTGTATGTTCTTTGTTTTTCAGGAGCCGAGGAGTGCTCCACCAGTTTTCGGGGACAGAGACGAACAAAATCTGGCCCTATGTTTACACGCTTTTCTCCAATAAGATCACACCTATTCAGTCCAAAGAAGCATACTGACCCTGCCTGATGGAAGAACCAGGAAGATGTGATCATTCATTCAATTGTGTGTATAGTACTGGTGCTGTGTCCAAATTAGACGCTAGCTGAGATAGCTTGCAGCACCTTTTCTAGTTTAAATGGTGAACTGATAGGAAAACCAATGGGTAGGAAGAGTTCTTGAAGAGGCCCTCCTGAAGACGGGCCACCCACATGTGTTTAAGGTGCCTCTGCACACATCTCAAGCCCTGCCCAAGAAAGCAAGCACAGGCTGGGTTTCAAGCAGCATATAACCTAAGCTCTAGCTGATTTTTGACAGCCATGTTGTTGCTACTGTATGCTTATTACATGTGATGGTGGTGGTCTGTGGTTCTGCCCACCTTCTCAAAGGCAGTTGAGTCACAGCACCAGTAAGCCTGAGCGAGCCAAGGGCTCTAGCCCGGGCTCTTTCTCAGGTTCTTTGATGTGTGCCCTCTGGTGACAATGAAATGGAAGCTAATTGCTCTAAGTGACTGTTCCCCTGGTCTTGAGTGATTGTGTCCACAATTCACTTCTTCCGGTAGAAATGACTCCTTTGCTGCATCCATGCTCTGTAGAATCTCTTCTTTTCAGACATCCGAGGGTGAAAGGATTTGGGTTCTATTTTTAAAAACTTTTTTTGGACATCTTTTCTCTCCTTAGGCTATTAAATAATATAGATATTTATTGTTCCTGTCCCTCTCAAATTCTTTCTGAGAACTGAGAGTGAGGGGACTGTAATCCTTCTCTTCATACACCAGGAGTAGAGCTATGAAGAGGATCTTACTTAAACTGCTGGTCTGACTCTCATGGATTCACACTGCTCCTTTCTTTTATTGTGAAAAAGTTAACCCCCTTAAGGTCTTTTTGGAATCTCCTAAAGTCTTTTGGGAACTCTCAAAAAATATTCACTGACATTATACTGAAAGATCAGATCTTATGTATAGAAGTAATAAGATCGTGTGGAATTACTGGACTAACAGCATAGTTAAGCTTTTTGTTCAAGACAACAAACTGTATTTTTAGAATGCTGCTGGTTGTTGATGTTGACAGTATTTTTCTCCTGTGAGTGATCTAAACATATTATAAATAGCTGGTTAAGGGAGTGGAGCCTGTGAGGAGAAGGAGAATGCTGCACCAGGTGTGCCTGGATTGAGTATGACAGCTGTACCAAGATGGGAAAGCAAAACATTTTTTTTTCTATTCCAAAGATTCATTCTCTGGGGTGGCCATGGAGTCTAGAATTCGATACGAGTATCCTGTCCTTCATTGAATGTAATATGGACAAACCGTTAGTTAAAGTATTTGCCTGGTTTCCAGACTCGGTGGCCGCCTTGAATAATTCTTGCTGTCCTCCGGGCAGGACAATGACATTTATTCCTGCTGCCTTAAAAGTATGTTTTTCTTCATGCATCACTGTCCCCAGTGAGTGTCCTTTACTATTCCTGGGAGAGACTTCTGTCTAACCCTTCGTACTGGTGAGAAAACAGCAGCCCACTTCAGCACTTCGGGGGTGCTGAAACCCATTATTCACCTTCTGAGGATGCCCTGGCGAGTCCCGGTCAGTTCACTGCCATCTCTGTCCTGTGCGGTGACACGTGCCTCTTCCTCATGGATGCTGCCCCAACGCCGGCCGGTTCCTTTCCCAGCGTCCCTTCGTGTGAACGTTCTTTGGCAACTTTAGTGGAAATGTAGACCAATCTCCTTCTCATCCTCTCAATCACAGCGAAATAAGATTGTTTGCTTTTTAGTTTATGGGGTGGAAACGCCCAGTGACCTGTGACACGTCAGTGCGTGATGACGTTGGCTCTAAGCACTTTAGAATTTTGAGTTGCAGTTGAACACCAGCCGATGGAGACAGAGAGCATATCAGACTTGTAGCTAAGGCTCAGGTGGCCTGGAGAGCCAGGCGTAGGGAAAAACAAGTCTGATATGAGGGGCCTTGCACACTTTAGAGTAGTACTGCCAGGGGCATGATTTCAGCAAACTGAGAAAAGTAGAGAGTGAACGTTATTACATGGATAATTCAAAAGGAGAAAGTGTGTGCTTTGCGGGGAGCGGAAACATCTCCATGCTTTGTTCTCCACTTCCTTTTGTGTTTAGCAGACCCTCGAATGTGATCATTGCCTTTGGAGTTTGGGGTGAGGTAAGGGAAACGTCCTGATCCCTGGTTCCACACTACCCCCCAACCCGTCCATCCCGCTTCCCTTCCAGCTGAATAGACAATTGTAGCCAACGCTGAGTCACCCAGTAAGTCTCTCCAGCGTTTGCTTTTGCTGAGAATGCCCAGCGGTCGAGGGTCCTTGGCTAGGTGAGACCAGTAAGAGACAAACAACCTTCCTGTTGTTTTGAAAGGTGATGTTTGTTTCATAGTGAGCAGCCTCAAAAAAAAAACCCAAAAATCAATTTCTGGTTTTCTTTAACAGATCTCATTTCCCCTTAAATGATTTTGTAAGAATTAAAGTTATCTTGAAAATATTTTGACAAAAGTAAAAAAGAAAGGGACACCTTTTCTTGGTTTTCCTGATGTTGCCGTACATGCACTTCTTTCACATTTAAGCAGAGAGAGTAGTGTGGAGGGTCTCTACGATTCCAGCCTGACCTCACGTTCTGTGGTCCTGCCCAGCTTAGTTCAGTGTGGTTTCACCATCCTAACAGGCTTCCCACTTACTGAGAGTGTGGAGATGCTGCTGTTTAATCCCCTCCCACACTAGCGTAGGCTTACGATAGGTACCATTTATTGAAGCTCTCCTGTGTGGAATGTGCACTTTTAGGACCTTTGCACACGTAGCATCCTAGGAGACATCTTTTTAGCATCCCAGGAGATAGGCATGATTCCCCATCGAAAAACCAAGAAGGCGGGCATCAGGGATAGGAAGCGTGTCGCCCAGGCTTCTGCGACCTAGGAACAAGGTTGCTGGGACTCCAGCCTAGGTTTTCTTGGCTCGGAAGACTGGGCTCATTCCTGGGTGTTGACTACTGACATCCTGTCCCAGGCATCCCAGGGCCCTGAGCCTGCTAGCGGACTCACATCAAGAATAGCAGAGTTCACTAAAGCAATGTTTGCCTCTGTATGAGACTGTTCTTTTTTTTTTTTTTCCTTTGCTTAAGCAAAGAAAGCTGCTAGAGCAGATTCTGAGCCTCAGTCCTCCTCCCCACGCCCTTGTTTATAAATAGAATAAAAGGCTGTCAAGTAGGTGGGGCTTGGGCCCAGGCACACCTGCCAAAGAGGCAAGCTCATGTTTCCTCCCTGGTCCTCTCAGGTGTCCATTGTGTTGTTCCCCTGAAGTGGCCTTGACCCCTGAGCCGTCCCCAGCCAGGGTGCTCACGCACAGGCCTGGGCTCCTGGGAGCTTTCCAGACAGGGCTCAGTTTTCTTCCTCAAGATCAGAATAAATCACTCCCTCACTCCTACCCTGAGCAAGGTCCTGATGAATCAACAAATTCTTTTCAAAGGGCTAGTAGGCGAACACACAGTGATTGAGCCTGTAATGCAGGTAACTTTTAACTTACGTGCCATCGGCCCTGTATTAGGTTACACGTTTATATGGCGGAAGGTCACATTCCCACCTTTGCCTAGCATTTGCTGACCATAAGCCCTTGTGGAGATTCACTTCCCATCTTGTCCTCCTTCCCTGGGGCTCTCCCCTACCTTAGCCTTCAACAGCAGGCCCAGCGGGGCTCCGTCCTTACCCAAGGAGTGCCCTCTCTTTGGTAGGGAAGGAAGGGAGGATTCTTGGACCGCTGCTGTGGCATTTTCTACTATTTAAAATGTTGAAACAGGATAACTTTAGAGAGATGCCTGCACAAACCCACAAAGAGAGCTGTTAAAAAGCTTAGTTTACTAGAATCTAAACCCAACATTTGGTTTACTATTTGTCCAAAGAGTTTATGTCTACTTGAGGTCTTGGCCGAAATCAATGAAGACCACATATTCTTGAATGGGTTAAGGTACAGGCGTTCTTAGGAGTTACTGTTTGTTTACTCCGTGTTAGGGAGATGAGATGCCTTGTCTGATTAAATCTCAACCATCACCTAATGTAATTACGTATTATTATCTCAATGAACTCGCCTTTTTGTATTTAAAAAGCAAATGTAATCCTGTTTATTTAAACATGTGTTTTCCTGTACCTGTAGGGCTTAATCAGGAAGTTCCAAAGGGCCTTTCTCTGCCTTTCCCTAGTTTGAGCTCCCTGTTCTCGTTAAGAGATAAAACAGTGCAATCACTCCAGTCTGGAATCTTGGCTTTTGCCGCTCTGGTGCTGAGACAGGAAAGGGGCACCCAGTGGGTCTCAGGGTCGTGACACACTGTATGCCGAGACGCATCTCAGCTCTACTCTGGTGGGTTGCAGGCTCTCGGGAGGCATCTGTGTCCACCTGATGAATTTCATTATCTTTCATTTCATGGACAGTTGTCTTTTCTTTTTGTAGTCGGTTTTTGCCAGAGAGGCAGTTTGTAAGGGGAAGGCCTGTTTAGCGCGAATTGCTTCCTCACTCTTCCCTTACGTCTTAACTTCTCCCTGGTCCATTTCGTGTCTCAAAAGAAGAACCCAGGAACGGAGATGTCTTTGAATATGGGAATGAGGTCTGGTCATGAGTTTTCTTTCCTTTCCATCCATAATCAATTCAGATGCTGAGAAGTCTTGAAGCTGTGTTTCAGCCATGAAAAAAATCTGCTTTCTGCATCTGTGGAGACATAGAATTAAGTTGTTTAGACATGCCGTATCTTATCTCTCTTGTAACAATTTGCACAGTTCTTGCCAGAATAAATGCCGTTATTTGTATGCTTCAGGGAATTCCCCAGTTTGATCATTGTATGTGTATGAGAGAGAGAGAGAGATTTAGTAAAATGTTTTTCTAAAGGGGGGAGCTTTTGTATGGCATAGGTATGAATTCCTTCCTCTGGTAAAAATTAGGTTTTTCCGGGAAGCACAATGACATTCTTTAAACAAAAGATTTCCTGTTTAAGACTTCCCAAAGGAGCAGATGACCTCAGTGATTCTCCCTAGGGTTGGTGTGTGCTTCATTCATTTTACAAAGCCATTCTTTTTTTCATTTTAAAGCTTTCACTATTCAGTCAGAAGTATACTAAAATAAAAACAAACTATTTTCTATTTAATTTAGAGAAAAGGAAGAAAAATGAAAACTCAGTCTTTATGTAAGCTCCAAGGATATTAGGGCTTAGAGGGCTTTTCTAGTTTTATGAGAATTTGTACTACTGATTTTATATATTCTTGCTTTTGAGATAAACAGATCTCTGGGGAAATTGTTGAGTTACGATGGCATTTCACTGTGATCCCTCTCAAGCTCAGATCACTTCTCTAACCCAATGATGACCCGTCTCTTTGGTTTACTGTCCCGTGAAATGTCAGCTCAAGTTTCCCAGAAGTTGCGTGCTTACCACGAGTCAGAGTGCTTTCTTCCTCAGTGCAACGGTTGTTGGGCCCTCTTGATTTTGGCATATGTGCTTAATTCAAAGTACCTAACCTGTAGTCTGATCTGTACATGCTATCCTAACTGTTAATTGTGTTATTGGTGATTTGGATTATCTTGCTTGAAGGTTGATTCCTACTTTTCAATTTGATAGAAATAAAGTTTTTCTGCTTATAACTAGTGAATTCGTTTGTTTGTTTAGCTTTTTATACACAACAATATAAACTTGTGCAGATACTCTCACGCCACTGCATTATCAATAGTGTTATCTCCAATTTGCAGATGAGAAAAATAAAGAACACAGTGTCACCCGGTTAAGGTGACAGTTGGTGGCAAGGCGAGACCCTGAGCCCCAGAGGAGTGATTCTCAGTCCCATTTTCTTTTCTGCTACATGATATTGGCTTCTTCGTACACCTTGAATTCCTTCCTTGTCCAGAGCTCTTCTTTACAGGTTTTTTTTTTTTTTTTTTTTTTTGAGTTGGAGTCTCACTCTGTCACCCAGATCGGAGTGCAGTGACCGCTACCGGCCACCGCAGCCTCGACCTGCTGGGCTCCAGCAATCCTTCTGCCTCAGCCTTCCAAGTAGCTGGAACTACAGGCGCGCGCTACCACACCCGGCTAATTTTTTTTGATTTATTGTGGAGATGAGGTCTCGCCAAGTTGGCCAGACGAGTCTTGAACCCGCAGGCTCAGGCAATCCACTCACCTCAGCCTCCCAAACGCAGGATTACAGGCTGAGCCACCGAGCCCGGCTTTTTTACAGTTTAGTGAACATTCTTTAACGTTATTCTGGAAACAACCAGATGGTGGGAGCAGATTCTGCCCGTTTTAAAGATCAGGAGACCAGATCACATTATGTGACAAAAACCGCAGTGTTTGGGGCTACTGGCAGAAGCAGAAATCCCAGCAGGCCCGCGTGGTGGGAGACACAGCCTTGGAGGGACTGGAGCCTCTGGGGGAGAAGCTCCCTGAGATGGTGAGGGAGGTGCTTTTCCCAGCATCACATCTTCTGTGTCATTCTGGTGGCTTCCCTTAGCTGAACCCAGCCAGGAGCCAGCTGCGAAACACGTTTAAAGACTTTTTCATGCCCCTGGAAAGGCAGAGGAAAGGGGAACTGGTTGTGATGGCATTGGGGTAGATTGTATTAACGTTCACGACATTCACTCCCCCTCCTTTCAAGAGGGTTTGAGCCTGTTCTCATTGGTGTCATGCTTGGACAACAATTTGCTTTGGCCATTGAAATGTGAGCAGAAATGAAAAGTGCCATTTCGAGCAGAAACCTTAGGAGCCAGGGCACGGTCGCCATTCCCTCCTGCACGAGACTGGCGATCTCATGGGACTCATCTTTCAACTTGGATCCCCAAAAGACTTGGAGGCCAGGCGCAGTGGCTCAAGCCTGTGATCCAAGTACTTTGGGAGGCCGAGGCGAGAGGATTTCCTGAGCGCAGGGGTTCGAGACCAGCTTGGGCAACTTGGTGAGACCTCATCTCTTCAATAAATAAAAAAATAACCTGGGTGTAGTAGCGTGCACCTGTAGTTCCAGCTACTTGGAAGGCAGAGGCGGAAGGATTGCCTGGGCCCAGCAGGTGGTGGCTGTGGTGGCCGTGAGTGTGCCACTGCACTCCTGGGTGACAGAGTGAAATGCCAACTAAAAAAAAATGACTTGGAGTAGAGATGTAGCCAGCCCATGATGGATAAGCAGCGTACATGAAAAATAAAACTGTTTTTTTAAGCAACTGAGATTTGGATGAAGTTTGTAACTACAGCATAATTTAGCCCGAGCTAACTGATAGAGCTGGGCCCAAGACTAGTATATCTTGTCAGCCAGTTACAACTTGGATTCTTTTATCAAGCACCGTTAGGCTCTGGGGATACAAAGATGAATAAGACCCAGGCTTTGCCCTTGACTGGCTTATAGTCTGCTGGAGGAGATGGACATATGATTAGACAACTCTATCCATAACTTGGGATGAATCTCTGTACTATCACTGAGAGAACAGAAGTAGCGACTCTTGGCCAACCTGGCAGAGCCCAAGAAAGAGGAAATATTTGAGCTGAATGATGCAGGAAAGAGAACCCAGGCCGAGGGAATGGTGAGTGTGTGCCAGAAAGTGTGAGTATGCAGGCAGAGGTCACAGCAGGGCAAGGCAAGACTAGGGAGACAGGGGTAAGGTGGACACGTATTGGGAAGGGCTCGGTCTTCACTTGGTTGGTGGTAGACAGGACAGACAACCAGGGAGTGACATAATCAGATCTGCATAACACAGACCTCATCGCAGGTCTGACCTAAGGCGCGGTCATGGAGTTCAACAAAAGCGGGATGGTGGGATTTTAACAGGAAGAAATTGTACAAGTCAAACTGCACATCCTTGTATCCCAGTTTGGGACTTTTGAATTCGAGAGAGAAACAGTAAGTAGGAATGAGGGTCTTGGTAGCTAGATGAATGTCTATGAAACAAGAGAGCAGGATATGTCAAGGCGAAGGAATACAGAGGGGAGGGTTCTCTAGCTTTGGCAACCATAAGAACAAAATGCAGAGTTATAGAGAATTCTGTTTTAATCAGTGCCACCTATCACGTGGGTTTCAGTCGCATCATTCAATCAAGTGCGATGCTTTTCCATACTGATTTCAACCAGTGAGTGTGTGATTATCTAATGATAGAAAAGGAAAACTATTCCCATACTTGAGGAAGGCCACTTGCTTCTATGTGTGCGTGTATGTACATGTATGCATATATAATAGGAAGGTTTACTCTGGTGCCAGGCAATAGGCCAAGCATTGTATACCAGTTACATGGTGAACCTGATGACTGGAGAAGTCAAGTAATGTGCTCAAGATGGCCCACTGCGTTGCGCTTGTGATGTCAGCTAGTCTTCCTTATTCTGACTCAATCCAAGGCAACTTTGCCTTGGCCAGGACCACAAGGCAGGAGTGGGGATGGGGAGCCCTACCACTAGGAGGTGACTGGGACTGAGGGCTGTTGAGTCTTTCCTGTGGCCAACTTTTCTCTTAGAATCCTGGGGCCAGTCCCTTTAACAAGCCTGAGGGCCTTCCATGGAGACATTAGATTTCATATCTCATTAAGTGTTGCTACCCTGCATCCTCCCCAATTTAGGGCTATATACCTTGAGAGAGGAATATAATTTCCTGACAAGGGAGACTCGGATATAAAAATGAAGTCTTTATCCAGCCCAGTCAGGACAGCCCAGCCACTCTCTTCAAAGTCGTGACCCACATACACTGCCCTCTCCAGATCCACTAGGTCATATGCACCAACCATCCTGGGCACACTGACCATCTCCAACAGACTACTCTGGACATCCTGACCATTAGAACATACCATCTCTCCTGGATACACTGATCCTATGTACCATTGATCCTATGTACCCACCACAACACAAAAACCTTCTATTTATCCAGCAGGGTCAGGGAGAAGGCTAACCTGCTTAGAGATCTGGATGAGCGGTCTTCTGCATTTTGTCTGTGTGTAAAACAACTTTGGTATATTTCTCCAGTATGAAGCCAATAAAACAGGCCAATTATTTAGTGCACATATGAAAGTCTTATCTAAAAATTTGTAACAAGTCTGGGCTCAGTGGCTCAGCCTGTCATCCCAGCTCTTTGGGAGGCTGAGGCGAGTGGTTCGAGACCAGCCTGGGAAACTTGGAAAGTCCTCGTCTCTACAATAAATCAAAAATTAGCCGGGTGTGGTAGTGCATGCCTACAGTTTCAGCTACTTGGAGGGCTGAGGTGGAAGGATCGCTGGAGCCCCGCAGGTCGAGGCTGTGGGGGCTGTGAGTGTGCCACTGCACTTCAGCCTAGGTGATGGAGTAAGATTCCAACTCAAAACAAACAAAACAAAACAATAAATAAAAAACCAAAAAACAATGGATGCTGGCGTAAATGTTGGTAAAAGGGAACGCTTATACACTGTTGGTAGGAGTGTAAACTAATACTACCTCTATGGAAATCGTTATGGAGATTTCTCAAAGAACCAAAAGTAGATCTACCATTTGATCCAGCAATCCCACTACTAAGTATCTACCCAAAGGAATGGAGGTCGTTATATGAAAAAGACACCTGCACTCGCATGTTCATTGCAACACAGTTCACAATTGCAAAGATGTGGAATCAGCCTACATGCCCATCAACATCAGTGGATAATGAAAATGTGGTATATATACACCATGGAATACTATTCAGCTATCCAAAAGAATGAAATAATGTCTTTTGCAGCACTTGGGTGGAATTGGAGAACATCACAAAAGTGAACTAACTCAGGAACAGAAAACCAAACACCACATGTTCTCACTTATAAGTGGGGGATAAATAAGGATCTGCAAAGAAATAGAGAATGGTATCATGAACACTGGAGACTCAGAAGGGGGAGGGAGGGGAAGGGTGGAGGGAAGAAAAATCACCTATCAGGTACAACGTGCACAGGTGAGGATGCTGGGTACACTTAAGACCCAGACCCAAAACTATTTGTATTCCCCCAAAGCTATTGAAATAAGTGAATACATAAAGTCTTGCCTAAAAATGTATGAATGTTGGTATTTATAAATTGAGGGTTGATAGTGGGGACTCTTTGACTACAATGACAAATGCCTAAATGTGAATCTTTCTACCCGATTTCAAAAAGTCATACAGATCACCACTCATACCTACCACATAACCAGACGATAGAATACCGCAAGCTGCCTTTCACTTGAGCGGGAAAATTAATATCTGAAACCAGTGGTATCAGCTATGGAGCTCATGCAGAAGGGAGAAGTAGACAGGAATTATTTGAGAAAAGGAGAATATGGGGGGGGGTGTCCCAGAGAGTCCCACACTAAGTGGAGAAATACTAAGAATAGCCATACTGAAACAGAGAATGTGCTACTAGGAAGTTGAAGGGGACTGAAAGTGTATGAACCCAAACATATAAGTTTTGAGAGAATACTGCTTCTAGGAGAGAACAAGATAACTCAGAAGGAAAGACATTTCTTGGAAATTTGATGAGGAAGAGGGAAAAAGTTGAAAAATAATGATCCTACAGAAAGAAGAGTTTTGCAAAATCTATGACATACTAAACTCTTCCCTAACACTCCCCGCCCCATGACAGACACACACACACACACACACACACACACACACACACACACACACACACACGATGCTGTTTATTAAGGAAATTGCAT